GGGCCTCCCTGGACTGACAGGTGCTGAGCTGTTAGTGACTCCACCCCCATCCCCAATTCAGCTCCTTACCAACTGCTCAATCCCAAATACACTTTCTAACTCTTCTACCTGGAGGGCAACTACAACACGATGACCAAAGGAAGACTGGAGTCAGCAAGGGCTATGCCTGGAGAATGACACTAGGTACCACAGACAGAGAAGGGGGACCAGGCTCTGCCTTTCGTCAAGCACCCGCTCTCTAGGGGAAGATAAAGGGATCCAAAAATGGCCTGGCCAGGATCACCCCACTCCATGGGAGAAGTAAACAATGGGGGCCGGGAGAGACCAGAAAAGGAGCACTCCAACCCACTGTGGAGAAAGAAAAGTGGCCAGAGGAAACAGAGCAGAGAATCTGAAGGGTGAGGTATTAAATGGATGCTGCATCATTTATCTTTCAATCCAACATGTCAGGAGAGAGAAGAATGAACTACACTTACTGAGGCTAGGGTTTCCACTCTCATTCTGTCATAACTAACTGTATCAACACAGTCTGATGGTGACTTAACCTTAGGCTTCTGGGTCAGGAAGGCATGAGGGAAAGTACAACAAAGTATGGACTTTCACTCCGACATTCTGTGAGTTTGTTACCTCGGGCAAGTCATTTGCAGTGTCAGTCTTGGTTTCTACAACTGAAAAACTGGCCCAATAATCTGCCCATCCCTGGTCTATTACCAGTATTAGGATTACAAATACAACACACGACCCGGGACAGAGAAGGGCCTTGAAAATGAGCAAACTGTCTTAGTTAAATCTAACACCATCTGGCCACTGAATATTTCAGAAGGCCTGCTGAAGGACTAATGAGACATTACTGAGGAAAGAGGCCATCTATAAACTTGACACTCACACTCAGCCACTGAGGAGGGCAGGGCTGCCTCAGGAGACCAAACTGTGCTTTTCGTATCTCAGGACTCAGCACAGAAGCCCTGATATTAGGGTCTCAGCAAGCACCTCATTAATGTCCAGATGCCAAAACACTAGAATTCACAATCACTAGTCAATTGTAACCATAACACGATACAAGCAGTTTACCTAAAACTGAACCATCACATTCAGTTTCTTTCAAAACCAAACCAAAACCAAAACACAAACAAAAAATCACAATGAAAAACTAAATAGCCACATCCTCCTCTGGATGAACCAGAGAACCACATGCTATGGCATGAAGGCACCACACTCCCACATAATTCTGCAATTCCCATTCTTGCCCTCTCATTTCACAGGTCTAACAATGCTCAGACAAATCAAACTATTATTCCAAAGGGATCACCCCATATGAAACGCTAAACCACTGGGGTTCATACCTTACCAAAAAAATGCTCAGCGGGTAAAGTGATGATCCTTCCTGTACACATCTGTATTCCTCACATATATCCTAAGTAATGTTAAAATTCCTAGTATTGGAGAAAATGATGTAACATGAAAAATGTTGCCTTTGAAATATCAATAAAGAACTTCATCAATCTGGACACAGACTACCTTAATCCTGAGTCCTCTGCTGCTCCTATAACCAATGGCTAAATATAACTTGGCAGAGAATCAGCCACCAATCCATACATTGTATCAGATAATTAAAAATACAGTGTTATGTAATCTTATTTAATGGTTACTTGGCTTGAACTGAAAACCATCCAAACCAATACCGAACTGCTGGATTAAATTATAATGCATAAGACATTTCTGAAGATGTTTTGTAGTAAGAGTCAGCACATCTCCTACCAGCAAATATAATACCAAAACATGCAGCAGTACTCTCATCTCCAACTAAGGTCCTTGGCAACAAACACGCTGTCAGTTCACCCAATGGGCACTTGTAAGGGAGCCTGGAGGAGAGGAGTGGGGAGCGCAGAAGTCAAAGCCAGCCGAGGGCCTATTTTCTTTGATTTCATTTTAACATCAGGTAAGCATCCCCCTTATTTGTGTTAGAGAAACAAATTCAGTATTTGGAGGCAGAAGGAGAAGAACCAATTACCCTGGGAAAGAAAGGTAAAATCAGTAACTAGTGCCCCCTATGAAACCCGGTCAGGAAAGTGTGTGATAGCCAGCCTCTACTAGGTCTGAGTACATCTCCTCGCCTACCCAGCTCACGGTCTCACTTGAAGAAGAGCAGAAAGAAAAAGTCAGCTAGGAAGTTAACCAATGTTTATGAATACTGAATTTTTAAAAAATGACTATCTCATTTATAAACTGATTATTGTAATGTGATTACTCAACTAGAATACTGCTCACAAGAGGGCTGTAATTCAAAAGTGCCTCTTTCACTGAGCATTAGAATGCTGTAAGAAGATAAGTAGAGAAAGAAACTCATTGTGAAAAATCAGGATAATTCTCCCTAAAGGACTCACATTAGTTCTATTGCATTTACATTAACCAGGGAAAATCATATTAATTATATTGATTTCTGCAGGTTTTAAATGAGTACGTAAGAAGTACTTTATGTGACCTTTTTGGGAGGGCGCAAATAGAAAATGGTCTTAGAGACAGAAGATCTTGATTGCAAATTAATTCTGGGTGGTCTAGAAGCTTGTAAGTGAGGTCCTCAGCTCCCTCCTTGAAAAAGACAGCAGTATCTTGCTCAACAGGGACATAAGTGTGAAGAAAGAACTAGATAGCATGAATGTTACCATATCCTGGAAACTTTAAACTATAAAAACATAAGGTACTGTTAGTGTTTGGAGACTTAACTGTAAATATGTATCTAATACATGCTATGCCATAATAAAAAGGTTTACAATGATGACCAATCATTGCAGATGGATTTAGTAACAGGATACAGATTTCAGTGTCAAGATTTAGAATAACCTCTGAAACAATACTTTCTTTACAGGCAAGCAATCACAAATATAGCTTAATAACAAATGCTCTCATGTAGCCAGTAATGGTGGTTACAGGTTTAAACTCTATTTCCTAACAATCATTCAAAATCTGACTTCAGACAATATATTTCAGAAAGGTACTTGTAGTTGTGGATTACATGAGCATAATTACTATTTTAAATGACAGAGCTCCACATTCTGGATATCAGCCTGTGATTGAAGGGAAAATGTTCTAGGCTGAAGTTATCTGAATTAACAGTAACAGGAGCATCTTACCAGCACCTCTTCCTTCACAAGTGAGAAATGTATTTCTTACACGCATCACATTTTTGATGAAAAGTAAAAGTACTCAAGTTTAATACCCAAAAGGCACTATGTGGCAACGTGTCCCCAATATCTGTCACAAGTAACTGGAAGTCACCAACATGAGTAAAAACACAGAAACCAAAAGAATTGTGAGTGTATTAGCAAAACAATACTATGGAAACATGGCACAGAAAATAATCCTGACTTCTAAAATAAAGTAGCTCATTACACTGTTACTTAAACCATTTCCTTAACTGAGTACAACATAACTTTGATTCAGCTTCTTTTGTAAGAAAAATGCACTTGACTACACAGTCCAGGATATTTCTGTCACTGATCTCAACACAGTGTAAAAAGATATTTCTTTCGTAGAAATGACAGCCCAGTCGGCAACAAAAGATATAAGTAAATCACAAAGAGGAAAGAGTACAAACCTAACTATAGAACTGTTCAGAGGGACATGTGAATAAAACTTACATTCTCTTTCTCTAATTTAGGAACGCATGCCCATTACTTTTTCACAAGCTCATTTTATTAAAGAAAAATGAGCATGCAATTAAAATAAAATGGGGGAGCTCTGTAAACCTATTTTGCTCAGCTATTCAAATATGCTTAAATTCCTCAGACAGTGAGAGACTTTCCACCACCACCATCGGTCAACAACACACACACCACTCCAAAGACCCGGCTGCAATAGGCAAACACCAGAAGTCGTGGCTTTCAAATAGAGATATCTATACACAAATAGAATATGTCTGCCTCATCTTTCACTTCCAACAATAACAGAGCCAGGGCCAGCATTAGGCAGCAGACCCGATTTAACTGGGGACCCACAGGCCGTCACTGCACAGGGATTCATGCAAATGCCTAACACATCCATCGGACCACATAATGTTTGCCATTTCCTAGAGAAAAGGCACAGCCCTTTCATCTGAAACACAAATGCCAGAAAGGGGAGTAGCGGACTGCTCCCCCGGGGAAGGCAGGCTTCAAGTACCGTCCATCCCAGCAGGCTCTCCAAGGAGGCTGAGGAAGGCAGCCACAGGAGCTCGGTGGGGTAGGCGTGGCCCACACACCCCGGGATCTCGCACTCCTGCACTTCCCGGTCGGTTCACACCCGGCTGCAGGACTCCTTCGGAGTGTTGTGGACCCCAGGCAGCCACAGATAAGGGACACCCGCCCAGCGCTTCCCCGGGGTGCGGGGGGGGGGGAGGAAAGAAGGAAGGGAGGAAGGAGGGAAGGGAGGAAGGAGGGAAGCCAGCCAGCCACCAAGGGGCTCCGGCCGGCCTCCTCCCCGCTGGGCCTCGCGGCTCGGCGAGAGCGGCTGCCCCCTTTCGGGAAGGCAGCCTGCCCCGGGACTGCCGCCTGGGCACCGCGGCTAGCCCGCGCGAGCCAGGGCCTGGACGCCTCCCCCGGGACCTCCGAGCGGCGGCTCTCTCGGGGCTCGGGTCGGACCCCGAGCCTCCTCCGAGGCCCCAAACTTCCCTGACAGCCCGAGCACCTGTTCCCTTCACCTCTTTGGCACTGGCACCCCTCAAGTCCTTCCATCCGCCCGCAGCTCCGTCCCGGCTCCCCACGCCGAGCGGCCCGGTCGCGCCCGACCGCCCCTCCAGGGAGCTCGCTCGGCACCCGCCCCACAGAGCCCCAGGCTGTCTCCGCCCCCGCTCCGAAGTTTCCCCGGGCACCCCGCTGGCCCCAGGTTCCCTTCGGGTCTCGCCCCGGCTCGCTCCCCTTCCCCGCCCCGAGGCACAGCCGCTGCCTGCCGGGCGTCCCGCCTTCCGGGGCCCCACCCAGGCCCGCGGTCCCGCGCCCGGCCCGGGCAGCGCTCGCCGCGCTCACCTCGGCTCACCAGGCGCAGGGCGTGCGTGAATGACGGGTCCAGCGAGTCCTTCTCCGCCATCAGCTCGGGCAGGTACTTCTCGTCCATGCTCGCCGGCGCCCGGCCCCGGACACGGCCCCGAAGCCCGACCCGCCCGGCCCCGGCGGCGCGGACCGGGCCAGACGCCGCGCGGCACCGGCGACCTCGAGAGCCCGCGCCGGTGGCCGCCGCCTGGGAAACGCGGCCCCACGCTCCGGGCGCAGCGGAGGCGCCGGGGGTGCGGACAGGCAGCCTGCGGCCGGCGGGCGGCGCTCTCCGAGACCCCGCGGCAGGCAGCCCCCGCGCCCCGGCCGGCAGCGCCGTCCCGAACGAGCGCCTCTCGCCCCGCGCGCAGCTCCGCGCACTCTGAGCCGCCCGCTCCGCCCCGCTCCGTCCTCCCACCCGCTCCGCCCCGCCCGGCCGCGCCTGCGCGCTGCGCCCTCCCGCCCAGCGCGCGCCGCCTCGCGGGGCCACCGGGCTGCGCCGGCAGCGGGCGGGAGGACGGGGCGGGGCGGCGGGCCCCGTAGCCGTGTCTCGGCAGTGCTAGATGCTCAGACCGGGAAACCGAGGCCCAAGGAGGCCGAGGGGCGCGCCCAAGGTCACACAGCCAGCGGCCCCGGGGAGGCGGGGGCAGGCCGGGCGGGGAGGGCTGCAGCCCTTGTTCGCCCCAGCCTGGCTCTGGAGAAAAGGCAGCGGGCCGAACCGCCTCGCTCCTGGAAGCTCCCCAGACTTCGCTGAACTTGTGTTATTTTGCTGCCCCTCGGATTTGCAAGAAAATAACGCAGGGGCCGCGTCCTTCCTGGGTGCAGGGCTCCCAGCGCCAACCTCTGGAGACCCTGGGCGCCAAGGTCGGTTACATAAACGCGCGCCCTTCAGGGCGTCTTTGCCATCCACCGCTTGCTCCAGGTTGTCATTCGCTTAGGTCGCAGACCGCCTGTGTCTGGACTTGGACAGCGGGAGGCACAGAGCCGTCCCCTGAGGGGACGCATGGCTCGTGGGTGGCGGTGCCCTCCGCGCCCTCCACCCATCCCTAGCACCTGAGCCTTGGCAGGTGCAACCGCAGGGCTCTCGAAAAGGTCCCGAAGCACGTGAGTGATTGCCCTAGGACAGGCCAAGGACTAGAGACCTTGTCCTGACTTTCCCCTCGCCATGAACCTCCCGCCTCATACTCTGGTCTCTGCCATCTTTCCTGGGCGTCCCAGCCAAGTGTCTCTTTTCTCCGTCCATACAGCGCCACCGTAAGAGGTCATTTACCTAGGGCTGCCATGCTCTACTTTCATGAGACCATGAGCAAGCATCTCAAGGGCAGAGCTGGAGGTTTGCTTTGGGGGAAAAGGTCCCCAACCCCTGGTGCTTGGGACAGGTGTGTCAGGCACCAGAAGTGTTTGCTGAAGAAGTGAGCCCAAGGGATTTCCTGGGGCCAAATCCTCACAGTTCTCCAGGCAACCCTTCTGCTCTGCATCTCTGAGGAGCTCTAAGTTGCTCTGAATCCCAGCCCAGATACCCAGGTCCCAGGTGAGGGACCCCTTCAGGGTCCCCAACAAGAATCTTTCTCATCTCGTTCTGTGAAACTTGAAAGAGGCAGTCAAATGACATGGGTAAATACATGGGCTGTGCTCCTGACTGGTCTGACCCCTGGGGAAGGTGTTTCACCTGTGTCTCAGTTTCCTCAGCTGTCAAGTGGAGCTGGCAAGACAACCCATGTCATAAGATGTGGGCATTACATATTACAGGTAATAAGATTCCCAAAACAGTGTCCAATGCACCATGACTGCTTCCTGTTCTTTGGGGATTTTCCCCCTGGGTGGCTGCTCTCTGTCTGGATCTGCACCTTGCCTTCCTCCAGCTGCAGCTCCCAGAGACACGGGGCTGACTTCACCCCCAGCAGATGGAGGAAGGACTTGTGATGGGCACAAACACCTGGCACAAGCATGGTTAGTGAACCGGAAGTCTGGGCTTCATATCTATGTACACCTCCAGGACCCAGGTAGTGCCAAGAGCCCCCGAGGGTGGCTGGAAGCCTGGGGCGGGGTTTTTTTCTACTTTTACAACTGAATGGGAGTCCATACCTGAGGCTTACTTGTGTGCTCCCAGAACTTGCATTCTAGACTGTGATTCTAGGACAGCAGCTTGGAAAGGGAAGAAGAGGTAGCCCCAGGAGAGGAGACGGCGACCAGATGGTACTGCTCTTAGCTGGTACTGGTCTTAGACACTACTTCCTAACAGCTCTCCTCCTTCTGCATCTTCCATTTAAGTTTCTGCCTCACTAACAGTCCAACTTTGAGTAATCACTGTTTTTATTAAGCATTTACTAAGTGTCAGGTACTGTGCTGGTAGCTTTACATGACTTCTCTCAACACCCTGCAGAGAAGATCCTATTATTCCTCTAAAAAAATCAAGAAACCAAGGCCCAGAGCTGTGTAATGCTTTACTGAATGCCCCACGGCTGTCAAAGGGGATCCTAAGCCTGCCTGAGTCTAAATTCCCCCTTTTCTCCCTCCTCATTCTGCTTCCCCAGGCGACAGTCTGGAACACTGTACACTGGCCCTCTGTCCGGCCCACATCAAAGCAGTTGGCCTAGATGTCCCGCCAGCAGCTGGGGAGGAGGGCTGTATACCAGGAAACTGACAGCACAGGCACTGAATCTTCTGCTCTGGATCTTCCTTCTCTCCGAACCTTCCAAAAGGGCAGGAACCAACACCATGCCTGGTCCTCCAGGGAGGAAGGAGGAAGGAGACTGTGAGATGCTCAGGAAATTGTACCCAACCACCAGCCTGGCTGCGGGGCACCTCCACGCCTTGCTGCACACTGCTGGTCTTTATGAGCTCACATCCTGTGCATTCTGGGCCTTGGGAAAAGCTGTGTTTTCCTGCAAGCAGCTGCAGGTAATATTCAAATTCAGATTTTCAAGCTGCCAGGCCAGTGATCTTGCCATAGTACACCAGCACTCCCGAGAACATGTTGCATGCAGAGTTTGTTTAGGGTACAGGCAATGTGGCATGGACAGACAAAGCCAACCTCTCCTCTGCCTGCTCTGGGCCACTACATGGCTTCTGTCTGCATGGTTTGTGTTCATGCAGAATGGAGGCCACACACTACAGCAAGGAGCTCTGGCTACTTTCTCCCCAGATCCAGGTCAGTGACTTGCCTTTCAGCCCAAGGACAGAAGAGGCATTTCCCAAACCAACTTCAGTAGCATCTCAGGAACCATAGCAAGTCCCTGCAGCCCAGCCAGTACCACTGAGGCCCCATCAGCCCAAATCCCCACTGGCCCTGGTACTCCTCCCCATCCTAAGGAGAGAAAGACACTTCCCTGGCCTCAACACTGACTGCAGTGAGTCACACACTGCCACAGATCTCAGCCTCATCAGAGCATGCACAAAACACAGGGAGTGTGTCCCTAGGGTAGCTTTCCTATGTGTGCAGGACTGCCGCTCATACTACACACTTCCTGTTCCAAATCTGAGTGTACCCAGGCCCCAAGTAACCTTGGTTGGCCCCTGGCTCTCTTGCTTACTGGCTGTGTACTCTTGTGTCACCACTCGTCACTTCAGAACATAGGGAAAGGGTGACACCTACCTTGCAGGACTGGTGTAAAGCTTAAACCAGAGCATTAAGCTTGTCCTAGGCACCAAGTGTATTTTGAAGCTTTTCAACTCTCCCTGCTCTGAGCTCCACCAGCATGTTTTGTGTTCCAGTTCACACTTAACACACCACGCCCTGGTCATCTGTGGACTCTTTGGCTTCTCCCACTGTCCTGGGAGCCTGCTCACCTTCTGGACCCCCGTGCTTGGTCTAGGGGTCAGTTCACGGCAAGCACTCAGTATTCGTGCGTGAGTCATCACCCCTGAACTGCCACCCCCTTACAGCGCTACTGCCCAGCCTCCTACCCAAAGATGGCACACCCTCCTCCATGTTTCCTTGAAAATAAGCCCTAGCCAGAAAATAATCAGCCTTGGAAACTAGAGGTCAAAAATGCCAGCCCTAATCAGCCTATCCGGGCCCTTCCTGCCTTACAGAGCAAAAGAACGGTGACAGCAGAGAAGGTAAAAATGGGCTGACTGGGGCTGGCATTTTGATCTCCAGTTTTCAGGGCTGATTATTTTCTGGCTAGGTCTTGTTTTGGGGGGAAGAGTGTACGTGTCAGGGAGTAATGTTCCCTCCAGTCCCTGGCTGGTTAGCTGCAGCAGGAAGCACATTTTCAAAATTTGTGACTATGGCTGAACAGGCTTAGCATACAAGTTGGGAAGGATACACAGAAACTTTCTGAAGTTGGCAGCCCTTAAATTTCAAAGCCCAGCCATGGGTCAGGAGGCCTATGCAGAGAACTAGTTGGTAATATTTTTTTCTATTTTCCTTGACAACCTCCAAAACCTCCTACATTCGGTATATGGAAATATAGCTGCCAGGAAATTCAAAGATCTGGTAGCTTGCAGCTACTAGTTTTTAGAGATGAAGAAATGTTGCTCAGAAAGTTTTCATGACCCGAAGGTAGTCAGGGAGAAGTGGACACATTTGTGCTAGCAAACACACCCCATCTATACCCTTCAAAAGACAGATGGAATTCGGGCTTCAAGCCCAGTCACTTACACACCCGGAGACGCCTAGCCTTCTGTCTCAGTATCCACATGCCTTGGAAGTCTACCCTCCTCATGATTTGGTGGCTGAAAGGTGCAGTCTCTCTTGCTGGCTCTGTTCTTTGGCCAGAGGCACCGTCCTAGAGCTCTGTTCAGCAGCCAGGAAACCACAGATATTGCGCATGCACCCCCTAGTGGCCAAGGTTGGATGCACATGTCCCAAAAAGTTCGTGCTGAGTTAGAACCTCTTGGGATTTGGTCTCCATGGTAAAAAGAGGCCCGAACAGGACTGTAATTCTACCCAGAAAGGAAGACAGTAAAAAATGATCTTAAGTCAAAGAGATTTAAATGTAACAAAAGAGAGAAAATGTGGAAAACAAAAATTGTGAAGGAGGGAAAAAAGACAGAGCAAAAGGAAGAAAAAGAAAGATCTATAGAATAGGAGAGAGATCAAGAGGACAAGGGAAGTTCAAAGGAGGGATGTTTCTCACTGGCAAGCCTTTCTCTGTTTCAAAGATAAGCACACAGGAATAGTAATGGGATATAATGAGGGTGGACATATC